ATATTTAAAATAAAATGTTTATCTTGTATTTGATTATGTTTATCTGCTATTAGTTACACGAATTGAGATATGAGATGAAATCGGATAGGGATGAAATTGTTTAGGGATGAACATGTTTAAGAGTTTTAAGAGTTTAAGAGTTTGTAAGAGTTTTAGCCAAATGCTTTATAATATAGTATAGATATATATATATCATAATATTTAAATAAAATATAAAACATCATCTTCCGATCCTCCCCATCGTCCACTCTTCAAACAAGAACTCAAATTAAACTAAAATCTAGATGTAAAAATGTTCGTCATTTATCTAACCTCAAAATCTTCTGGGACAAAATCAAAAGCAAAATCAAGATTTAGATTTTTGTTTGGGTTTAAATTTTTTATAAATACATCTCTTCTGCTTGGTATCCAACTCTCATCTTCTTCATTTAGAGAGTAGAAACCCCCTATCTACTCAAATTGAACACATCATCATTCATCTTTGATTGAATTTAATAAATTTTCTGACGTTCCAACAAAAACAATCGTCCAAAACCATGAGATTTACATGTATATCATTAAATGATGCACAACGTGTAAATTATTCGATTATTCCAAGTAGATGAAATGTAATTGAATTATTGTAAAAGTCGCGTGACAAGTCGCCCGAGTTTCTAAACTCGCTTGGTCCTTAAAACTCATGGTGGAACCCACCTAACCCACTGTTTTGGCCTCCAAATCACTTCTTGATACACTTAATCATTCCCTTTGAGTCTTAGGTTGACTTACGTCTTCAAAATTGGTCAAATTCTTGCTGATTTCATACCAAGTTCCACTATTCTTCCTTTTCTCCAAGATTTTCAAATCTTGTACAAAACTTGGAAATAAATCATCTAAATGTCGTTGTGTTTGCTTGGATACCGAGCTAAACATCTTGGAAAGTGGTATTATAAGGCCAAAACCGACATTATCAACAACCCCACACGGAGTGTTGCTTGTCCCCAAGAAAATTAGCGACAATAAAAGGAAGAGAGTCTTAAGCAAGTCTAATTCACATTACATGACACATGGTATACTTTTCATAAGCAACAACTGTGTCAACACACGATCTAAAATAAGAATTATTTAAAAGATAATCATTGAAGATGGAACTAAAAACAAAGACACCATGATGATTTCAACTGATTAAAATACACTTTCGGAGATGATTTCACCTCGACCCTACCTCACAAAATGATCTCAATACTCTCGAGCCCTAGGTTATCACACATTGCAACTCATGAAGTCAGAGGCTATGTACAATAAAAAAATCAAGGTATATCTACATGAAAGTAATGTGAAAGATGCATAATTGTAAGTAAGGATAGGAATAAAATAGTAAAACAAGAAATACCAGTCTACATTCCTCACATCTTTGAGAAGATTATCCAGGTCTTTATTAGGTTGTTACAAGGCTTAGGGTGTTGACTAAGAAATGAACTAAGGAATACCCCTTTTTTCAACTTTGAACTAATTCCCGTTACACCTTTTGGTGTCTTGGAATCCTTCACACTTTTGTACCTTTTCTCGTATGCTCAGGCAAATTGGCTCTTTTTTTTATAGCTCCATGACCCTTTTGGGTCTGCTCTTTGCATCTATTGATGGTCTAAATAATTTCATGAAGTTGAAAATTAGTGTATTGATATGTTTAAATGTATATCAACGTGATCACACACATGGGTTTTTATGTGAAAGTGTTTTTGTGTCGTGTAACTGATACGACGTACATGTTTAGATATTTGCTAGCACATAGTACGAAAATATGGTTTGTTTGATACATATGAGAGAGCCATATTTGTACTAGTTCAAAACCATGAGAAACTTAGAAGTTCGATTGCACTTGGATATTGAGATCTCAATCCAAAAGTTTGTATTTTGATATACTGATTGTTTACATTGCATTATATACATGTGGTATACTCGTACAATAAACCACACGATCTTGTTAAGCCATTTGGCTTATGTATGTTTATATTCATATACCTCAAACATGTTTTCCTCATAACAACTGCATCATTACTTAAAATTTAGTTAAGTAAACTTAGATACGATATATCAGTGATAGACTCAAGTTTCTTTTTAACTTGGTAATGCACTACAATTACATTTAAGAAAATGGTACTTAAAAGACTATAAAAGAAATTTGAAGACACGTATGTGTAGCTCCCTTCTCGATGAGATTCAATGACGTTAATATAAAGATGAAGGCCCCACTCCTAGCCCAGCCCAACCATAGTTCATTTAGCCTTCCAAGTTCCACCGTTCCACGACTTCACCTTCATTCATCGACCACCATCGCTTATCCTATAGTATATCAGTTATTGAAGTTAGCTTTGGTTTTGCCAAATGCTACCGCAACAGTCGAAAGATGTTTTTCTGCTATGAAGATTGTAAAGTCATATTTGCGCAACAAAATCGATGTTGAACTTTTGAATGCTGCAATGATATGTACTATAGAAAAAGAAGCACTTCTCACAGTTTCAAATGACGATGTAATTAGTCAATTTCAAAAGATGAAGAGTCGTAGGACACAGTTGTAAGAGGAAACTTTTTATCATTTTTGTATGAAATTGAAGTTAATTATTATTTTATCTTATATCATGCTTCGTACAATAAATTTTTCTGCATCCGCCATTGATCTAAAGACTGATGAAGTCACGGCCTAGTTCGGTTCATATGGGCTTGCCCAAACGTCCAACTATACTATACGTGAGCAGTTGGGGCTATACATGACATGAGTTTGTCGGGTTGAAGATATTCGACCAAACCATTCCAATGTTTACGGTTTCAAAAATCTCAACCCAACCCAAATAAAAGTATGTCAGTTTGGTTGGTCGGATTGAAATTTTGGTACATCACTTTACAGTCTAGCTAAAAGATTGTATTTAAACGGAATAAAATCGAAAAAGAAAACATGCTTAAAAAGGTAAGAAGAAATAATATAGGGGACTAAAGTACAAATTGTCCAAACCCAATAAATTCAACTTAAGGGACTTAAGATGGAAATGACAATAGAGTTGAGGGGGGAAAGCTGTAGTAGCTTCAAACCATATATATAATCCCCAACCATGAGTAGGGTTTCACAAGAGAACTGAATCTTAGGGTTTGTTCTGCTTCCCTCCGCCGCCGTATAACCTCCTTTCTCCGTCACTCACGATCCAACCATGGCCGTCGGGTACTCTCGATCTCTCTGTGCATTCACTCTCTATGCATATCGTTCGTTTAGTAAGGACTGATTTCTTATGTATTTGTTCAATTTGAAAACTTTGCAGGAAGAACAAGCGTATTTCCAAGGGAAAGAAGGGTGGGAAGAAGAAAGCGTGAGTCAATTTTGTTATTAATTTGCCACTGGTTTTGATCTTCTTTGATTCTGATTAAAGCAATGTGGTATGATGTAATGCATTTATTAAGTTTGTTTTGTTTTTAAATTATGTAAATGAACAGAGCTGATCCCTTTTCAAAGAAGGATTGGTATGATATCAAAGCCCCATCTCTATTCAGCACCAGGAATGTTGGCAAAACCCTGGTTACCCGTACCCAGGGTACTAAGGTAATTTACTTTCTCGTTTAGGTGTGAAGATTTGGTTTTTCTGTATCACTTGGTACATGTTTGATGAATTGCCTATAAATGAGATTCCGTTTTTTGACCATATTGGATTTGTTTGTTTTGCATTCATTTTGTGTTATAATTTGACAACTCTCTAAGGTTTTTGAGAAAGCTAGATAAGCCCGTAATCAACTCTCATTTGATTTGTAATAGTTCATGGGTGCTTAATTAATGATATGGTGGTGACATTTTATTTTTTGAGGAGTTTGATCATAATATTTTGTTTAGCAGTTTGGGCATAGATAACAAATGGCTTTATATATTATGCGTGATAGTTGTCCTGATTGCTTGTGACATTTCCATCGTTTTGTTTCTTCTAGTTGCTAAATAGATTCCTTTCCCTTTATAAATTTCACTTTATTAGATGCCAATGCCTGTTTTGGCTTGTTATGCGCTTAAACTTGATGAATTTGTTCTTCAACTTATGAGTTTTAAATTGACTTGGACCAATTTGCTGCCTTAATATACAATATCATGAGTTGCATCCTTGTTATAAAGTCTAGTGGTTGTTTGAGACTCAGACCAAATTGCTAGTATTTAGTTTGACATATACACACACTTAAGTTTTGATTTTTTTTGCCTCTTTTTCTCTGGAATTCTTATTAATTTTAAGTATGTGCTTAAATCACATATTTGTGACTCAAAAGAAGCAGGGCCTTTAAACTCTGCATGTCAATGTGCTATAGATGGTGAATTTTACAAGTTTGCCTTGGTTTCAATCTGTAGGAGTTGAGTAAATATCTATTTGCATTAGTACTTGAAATTTGCCGAATTTTGCTCTATTTTTAAGTTCTGGATGTGTTAGATGATGTTTCTTTCGTTTGTGGAGATTTTTCTGGTATCCTAAATTCTTACAACCATAATTTTTTTATAATGTTTGGGTCTAGACTTAGTTTGGAACTTACATCTTTTCATCAGATTGCTTCAGAAGGACTTAAACATCGTGTTTTCGAGATTTCATTGGCGGACCTCCAAAATGATGAGGATCATGCATACAGAAAGATCCGCTTGAGGGCTGAGGATGTTCAAGGGAAGAACGTTTTGACCAACTTCTGGGTATGATGGTGTATTGATTATTGCTTTTTTTTTCTTTTATGATGAATTATGTTTATTGATTTTTAACTTTGTATTTTTCAGGGGATGGACTTCACTACAGACAAGCTGAGGTCTCTTGTTAGGAAATGGCAGTCTTTGATTGAGGCTCATGTTGATGTGAAGACTACAGACAGCTACACTTTGAGGATGTTCTGCATTGGATTTACCAAGAAACGTGCTAACCAGGTGAAGAGGACTTGCTATGCACAATCGAGCCAGATCCGTCAGGTATTATTTATAGGATATTATATAATTTTGGCTCTTTACTATCTTGTAATTAAGAACAGTTTTATTCTCTTATTAAACATGCAATATTGTTGTTGGATTGTTTTCAGGGAGATTATAATATATGCTTATGATTGTAAATTGTATTGGTCATTTGTACATTCATAATCATAAGTTTTTTCCGATTTCTTAGATCCGTAGGAAGATGAGGGAGATCATGGTAAACCAGGCGCAGTCTTGCGACCTTAAGGAGCTGGTTCAGAAGTTCATACCTGAATCAATTGGCAGGGAAATCGAGAAGGCAACATCTAGCATCTACCCTCTGCAGAATGTTTTCATTCGCAAGGTTAAGATCTTGAAGTCACCAAAGTTTGACCTTGGCAAATTGATGGAGGTAAGCTTTGTAATATTATGCTAGCTTTTTAGGAATTATATTTGAAGTCATCTAATCATTGCTATTTTGTTATTTGGTGCTTCCTTTTTGACAATTTATAACTTCAAAAACTTAATTTGTCTTGGCTCTTAATGTTTCCATACAGAGCGAAACAGAATCCTCATCCACTCTTAATGGTTTACGGTTCTATGTTTTTTACATTTATAAATTATATTATAGTATATGCAACCATTGCGGATCTATTTCAATGTATAGGGAAAGCTTCTTGAGTGGTAAACAATACACACTTGGCAGTTGGCATTATAGAAGTCAATCTTTGTTTTGGGGGGAGAGTTACTGTAGAGTGATGACATTAACGGCCTGCTGGAAGAATATATGTATAAACCATTAAAAGCGAAGTAAATCTTGCAAAGTAGATATTTTTACATTATATTTAAGATTTGATCGGTTGAAACAATAAAAAAAATCAGTAAGAGCATTTTAATATCCCCCCCTATTAGGATCACTTAGTTGGTCGGGTTGCTGCTTATTTAGGCTTCTTAGTTGGCGACCCATTTGTCGAAACACTCGTGCTTTGATTAGTTGTGGTTGCTTAGGCTGCACGGGAATTAATCGTTTTTATAGGGTAGAAAATGAACCAATCACTAAGTTAAGCGAATCATAAATCTAAGCGGGGATCGACAGTCTTTTCTGTACTTGTTCATCAATCAACTCTAAATATTGTCAAAAGTAATGTGTCATTAACATAATTAAATTTCCCGTATTAAGTAAAGTAATCATATAAACCAAACAAAATCAAACCAAACTAAGTTGACAAATTATATATCTGACTTGAAAATAGAGTCAGGGTGGGATGTATGCGGATATGTCTTCTATCTTCTACCCAAAAAGTAGAACCGTTGTTTTGAAGACTTGACTTGTGCAATGGGTATTGTATTTAGTACTGTATAAGATCATGTCTTTTGGCTAGATGATTGTATTTACAATGCTTTCGTTTCTTTTTCACGTAATAGGTGCATGGTGATTATTCGGAAGATGTTGGTGTTAAAATGGAACGACCTGCAGACGAGCCAATTCCCGAAGCAACTGAAGTCATTGGCGCTTAAAAGTTATTTTCATCCTTTTACTTTTTTTTATTTCTTCGATTCTGAGACGTAACAAATGTCGATTTTTTTTGTGGAGATGGATGGTGATATTGTAGTCTTTTGAAATTGGATGTGCAATTTTGTAGTTTCAACTATTTGATGATTTCTATACAAATCTTGAACCATAATGATCTTGGCTACCATTTTGACAAGTTGATCTCATAATTCAACATCTAATTTGATTTGGTCACTTTTTGTCTTTCATTAGATGTGAACTAATGAACATACAATTTTAGCACCAAAAAACCAATATATGTCATGAATTAACCTCGAACTTTGTAATTTCTAAACAAAAATTGAAGATATTTCAAGTATTTTGATTTAAGCTAGTTTAGATGGACGCTAGCGGTTTATTATTTAGCGGTTTACTTTCACTTGGTTAAAGTTCATGAATAGCTTATCATTGATAAGCTAGTTGGTAGTTGATAAGTTACCTGACGAACTATCATGTTTGACAAAAACTAACAAATAAACATGAAAAATAATCAAAAAGAGCATTATGAAAAAATAGTCAATAACATTATATTACAATAATAATTAAAACAAACATTTAATAATATAATATATTAATGCAACAAGATAGTAAATAAAAATTAGAATAATATAATATGTTAACAAAAATAATTTAAAATTAATTGGACTGACCTTCAGTCTAAACCAGCTCGGTTTTTATCTACTCTTAAAAATTTCTAGTATTTATCCAGTCGAATT